CTTTCATTACCAGGTCAGAGCCTATTTCCAAACTTTGGACCTGGACGTCAACGAAAGCACGGCGCTGTTCCGAATCCTAGATGACCCTCAACAGCACATGGAGTTGTCTCAAAATTTAGGGTGCCTCATTTAGGTATACTAATCGTGACAACGATGATCAACGTTGAGTTTGGGTTATCCTATAGTTCTGGATAAGTTCATGCTTTGGCACGGAACAATGGTTTCAGATCGCAGTTTCTGACCCGGGGAATTTGAAGCAAAGTCCGAAAATCATCCCCCTGCTGTATATTGTTTCCCGCACATGTTTCGGAAGCAGCTGGCGCTGCATCGCAAGCATCCCAGGGAAAACATGAAGGACCTCCGCCTGGGGACACATGTGCCACGATTTTGGATGTTGCACAAAAAACAGGGGTGCCAGAGATCATGGAACATGTGGAGAATGCAGCTTGGAATTCGGAATCAGCCGTGATCATGAAAAGAATCTTCAGTTCAATGTCAGCCATGACAATGAAAAATCCCTCAGTTCAAATAGCAGAAATTCGATTATCATGCTAGGCCCCACATTTCTGGTGCAGTTTGGCCTACTGCGTGTGTCTCTCCTCTGGACCTTTGAGGATGGGGATGGAGAAGTAACCTTGGACGAGTTCCTTGATGAGCACGGCCATAAAGCTGATTTGTTGAGGTAAAAAAAATCATTCTGAGTGCGACCAAAAAAACCTCATAAGATTGCCAGAGCAGAATTTTGCTAAAAAGGAAGAAGGTTTGGAAATTGATTGATATAAGCAGAAAATGATGAGGGTTCGACAGGGTGCGGCAGGACAAGTATAGGTACTACTGAGTACATGGTTAGGAAGTGGATTGTAACTTGTCATGTGTCGATTGGAGGCTTGGGGAATGTAAAATCGAAGGAAGTTTAGAAGTCAAACTTCCGACAATATGGAGAGATGAAAAGCAGAGCAGGGAAGAGGCATAGAGAAGAGAAAGATTAGAAGAAAGAAGAGTAGAAGAGAAAGAGTAAGAAGACAGAAGATGCAGATGCGCGAAAAGGTAGGAAAGTCGCGAAACACTGTGTTTTTCCAATGATTTGTGGCTCCGGAGGGTCGAAAAGTAGGCTCGCTAAAGCGGCGGGTGCGGAGCCAGCTGGCCACAGGAGAGATGAAAAATTGCACGCCGTTGTGGCGCGAAGCACATTTGGAAGTCAAAAGTGTTAAAAACTGGCGGTCTCGGAGCACTTTTGGAAGTTGAGATGTCGAAAAAGTGCACGGCGTTGTGGCGCGAAGCACATTTTGAAGTCAAAATGTACAAAACACCTCAGCGTCGGACCACTTTTGGAAGTTGTGATGTCGAAAAAGTGCACGCCGTTGTGGCGCGAAGCACATTTCCAAGTCAAAATGTACAAAACACCAGGGGTTCGGACCACTTTTGGAGGTTCAGATGTCGAAAAAGTGCACGCCGTTGTGGCGCGAAGCACATTTTGAAGTCAAAATGTACAAAACACTAGGGGTTCGGACCACTTTTGGAAGTTAAGATGTCGAAAAAGTGCACGCCGTTGTGGCGCGAAGCACATTTCCAAGTCAAACGTGTTAAAAACTGACGGTCTCGGACCACTTTTGGAGGTTCAGATGTCGAAAAAGTGTCGAACAAGTGCACGCCGTTGTGGCGCGAAGCACATTTGGAAGTCAAAAGTGTAAAAAACTGAGGGTTTTGAGCCTTTTTTGACGTGCTGATGTCGAAAAAGTAGACACTGATTAACTTAACTAACTTGCCTAACTTGAGTAACTTCACTAACTTAACTACCCTAACTTCGACGACAACAACAAAAACAACAACAACAACAACAACAGCAACAACAACAACAACAAAAACAACAACAACAACAATAACAACAACAACAACAACAACAACAACAACGACAACGACAACGACAACGACAACGACAACGACAACAACGACAACAACGACAACAACAACGACAACAACAACAACTACAACTACAACTAGAACTACAACTACAACTACAACAACTACAACTACAACAACTACAACAACTACACAAAAACTACAACTACAACTAGAACTACAACTACAACAACTACAACAACAACAGCAACAACAACAACAACAAGAGCAACAACAACAACAACTACAACTACAACTACACAACAACTACAACTAGGACTACAACTACAACAACTACAGCTACAACAACAACAACAACTACAACAACAACTACTACTACAACAACAACAGGAACAACAACAAGTACAACTACAACAACTACAACAACAACAACAACTACTACTACTACTACTACTACTACTACACTACACAACAACTACAACCACACAACAACTACAGCTACAACAACAACAACAACATTAACAACAACTACAACTACAACTACAAAACAACTAGTTGCAACTATATGACTGCAACTACACTACACTAATTACATTACACCACAACTACAACTCCACTACGCTACAACTACAACTACAGTTGCAGTACATCACACTACATCCAGCAGTTGTGGGTGAGGTGACCACTGCAACCATTGCAACCATTCCAGCAAACACAACTCCAACCACCTTTCGGTCAATCAGTGGATTCGCTCTGCCATCCGTGATTCACAACAACGAACGTCTCCTATAGGTTTCCTATTCTGAAACTTCCGCCACCGCCTTGTGCGGTACTACTGGTATACCCAAGGTACCATTCAAAGGTTACTTGGATCACCCAAGCATTGCAAGAACAGACGAACGGACATGTCAGATACATACCTTTTGGTTACGGGATGTGAAGGTGGAAGTTTATTTTAAAAGGACGCGTATGTACACTGATTGCGGTCGTCATTTTGGTTTGTTTCACAACAGTTTTGTTATTTAGAGTTAATTGCATGAACGGATTTCTTCCGTATCCGATGACTTACCCCACGCCTATTTTCTGCCATTCTGTTTTGAACTGTTTTGGGTTCCGTGCTACGGTTCCATTGATGTTAACCCCATATCAGTCGAAACGTTTGGCTGGCGCTAAAAAATGTTCCTTGCAGCATCGCGCCCCCAAACAAACAATGGTACCCTACATAGATAAAGATTCTATTCGAGATCCCCACCTCAACAAAACATGAATCATTCTCAAAACAGACGACAGCTGATCGGCAAACCATCAGTACACTTTTGCCAACTTCATTGTGTGAGGCTATTGCTTTTCCGCTTTACACCCGTTGAGCTCTCCTCTGCTCTGCTCTGCGCTGCTCTCCTCCCCTCTCCTATCCTCTCCTCTCCTTTCCTCCTCCGCCTCCCGCACGCCACTTTGTCACAAACATTTTTGTCACACACAACTTTGTGTCACACAGAACTCATTCATACACAGCATTGTGACACACCGCTCTGTCACACACAACTTTGTCATAAACAACTTTGTCACACCTGAACCCAACAAAAAGCAATAAATTGCCTTTTGGGCCGTGTTCATAAGAAAAGGTTTCGCTTCCGCATTTGCATGTGTTCTGCCTTGCGTGGGAAATTTTGTCCCTCTTTCTTAACAACGCAGTTGCAAGTCTAATCACTGGAGCTTTTTCAGTTGCCGCATGTTAATCAAACAAATCGCTCTTTGGACGCGCCTTCAAGTCAAATCGTTGGTTTCGAAACTTGAAGGAGTCGACAACTATTTTCTGACCAAGCCGAAAGTGGCACAACAGCACTGTGTCGCAAAAGCACGTCAAGGCAGAAATCCCGATGTGCGCCTTTTTGATCGGCTTTTGGGCCTTTTTTGTGCATTTGTTTGCGGTGCAGTTTGTTCCCCAAAAATGCATGTTATAACCAAAGATTTCTGCCTTGGCGTCTTGACATCTAGTTTGCAAAATGGCTCGTTGATACCTGTTGATGGCTTTAGGGAGCATGGGTTTACTGGGTTTGCTTCACATGATCCCGTTTGCCAAAAGTTTTTTCATCTAGTTGTGCCATTGGATCATGCCGTATATGGCCCCCAAAAAATGGTTCAGGATGGTTCAGGCACAGCAATGTCAAACACAACTTTGTCACACACACACAGCTTTGTCACGCAGAACTCTTTCACACACAACATGCACGCACAGCTTTGTCGCATACCACTCACACACACTAGACAAGAATGGATCATTATAGTGATCCGGCAGGAACTGAGTCCTGTAACATGCAACTAGATTAGTTAGATATGGATGAATATTAATTAATATATATATATATATATATGGGACTATGGTGACCACCAGCTGCGTCTTAAATGCGCCCAGGTGCGTCACCACAGTCCCGCGGGTACATTTACACGGTCCCGGGGAGGTGTCTTCGTTGGTCACCGACCCCCCCGGGACCCCGGTGACCCCCCGCATATATATATATATATATATAAATAAATAACAGAAGTTTTAATGTGCCACACACACACACACACACCCTGCCTTTGGCAGGGTGGTGCCACGGAAGATGAGGTGAAGATTGATGAGGATGAAGGGGGAGTGAAGGTGAGATGACCATGAAGATGAGATGAAGAAATACTTAGCCAGGACGCGAAGAGGGGAACGCAAAAGAAGAAGGAGAGAACACCAACACAACACACCTGGCCCGGAGCGGGCAAACCCTGAAAGGGCAAGGGAAAAGAAAAGCGGAGGGTCGACGGACACGGAACAAGACCAGCGGAGGGGGGGGAAGGACGAAAGCGCCTGAACCAACCTGACACGGCGAGAACCTACACACACCTCGGCACGCGACGGAACCGACCTACCTGAGGAGGGAAGAACGCATATGGGACCAATGGGGATTAGTTGGTGGAAACACAAAAAAGAAAATCAAGACTCAGTTCCTAAATACCCAAGCTTCGTGCGTTATGCCCCTCCGGGCCCGTGTTCAGGTCAGCCACAAGGGCATGTAACGGCTGTTCAAGTTCCATCGAATTAGGTGCACAACATGTTTGACCTCACCAGACAACCATCAAAAGAAAAAGACCACACCTGCAAGACGTGTGCCTGCCTGGTTTCTTGTGCATGTTGTAATGCCAATGTCATGACGAAAGCTGCATGAGCAAAAAGAAGTTTCTGAATGTTCAGCACGGCTTCACTCTGAAAAGAAAGCAGTTCACAAGGGTCCCTGGGACATCCGGAGCGGCAGGACTTCACCAAAAAATGGTAGAAAACCGCAAGGCCAGCTGTTGCACTTTACTTAGACGAATTACTAATTCAAAAGTGTTAATTAATTCTGAAGTCAGGTCAGTCGACAGTCACCCACAAAGGGGTTGCCTCACTTGGCCCTATGGCACCTTGTCGGAGTCACCAGAGGAATCACACTAGACAAGAATGGATCATTATAGTGATCCGGCAGGAACTGAGTCCTGTAACATGCAACTAGATGAGTTAGATACGGATGAATATTAATTAATATATATATATATGGGACTATGGTGACCACCAGCTGCGTCTTAAATACGCCCAGGTGCGTCACCACAGTCCCGCGGGTACATTTACACGGGTCCCAGGGAGGTGTCTTCGTTGGTCACCGACCCCCCCCGGGACCCCGGTGACCCCCCGCATATATTTATATATATATATATTTAAATAATAGAAGTTTTACATCTATGCAGATGTGTCACACACACACACGCAACATTGTC